TTTAAATTATATATATATATATATATATATATTTATATTTATTTATTAGCTAGCATGATGTGCATCATGATCATTTTTATTATTCGTTCAGTTTCTCTTTCTCTTTCTCTCAAAACATTTCTTTTTTTCCTATCTTTCGTAGATAAAACCGAAAAAAGCTTCTTTCTTGAAGCTATTCATTTTATTTTTATTTTCGCTTAATTTGCGATTGAAAATTTGGATTTAACATAAACGGTTGGATATTTGTATTACGAGCCAGACCTTTGCTTAAATTTTTTTAAGTACGGTAGGGCATGTAAGTTTAAGATAAACGATTTTATTCGATGTTATCAATAGCACACAATCAAACAACATGTAATTATGACAAACACGTGGATACACGTAATAGACAAAAATACACGTTACACGTACACGCAAGTTATTGCTTCTAATTGTTTTTTTTTTCTTTCTTTTTCCTTTTTGTTTTTTCTATCTATCTTTTCGAACTTTCTCTCGATAAAATAGTTTTTCTTTTCAGGTAAATAAAGGGAATATGATGATTCATTCGGGAACAATTTTCTATATCGAATTTTTATCGAAGGTATACTTTTGTATTCACTCATATATCTCATATCTTTATCTTGTCGACAAAATTTTTCTATCTAAATTTATCGATGTCCATTAGAGTACTTTGCTTTAATTTCTTTTTTCTAATCTTCTTATCTTTCATCTTACAGATAAATACAAAAGTAATTAAATAAATAAATATCAAATGTTAATGTGTTAAACAGAGAAATTTTTGGGGGGAATTGTTTTATTTTATACTTTTTTTTTTTTGTGGAACAAAATTTATCTTTTTGAACCAACGCGCGCGCAAAAGATAATATATTTCTTTGATTTATTTTATTTGTTTTCTTTCTTTGAAAATAAATAATATATTTAATGTAATATCATTTTTTTTTTAAAATACATATATTAAATATTTATATTAAATTTGTTTATTCAAACCATATTACAAATATGTTCAAAATTTGATGATGCAATGACAGCAATCTTTACTAAACACAACCGAACATAACACAGCAATACACATACCCCATATACACATACCCCATATACACATACCCCATATACACATACACATATGCAATGTACTCGAACATATAACTTGTTCGGACCTGTTCGTGCTTGTTTTTTGTGTTCTCTCAGCTGTCCGAGTGCACTCGATGGGACACACCACCGAGTACACCGAATGGCGCACATATCATTTTTTTTTTCTTTTCTTTTCTTTTTTTTTTCGACGACCCCTTCCCGCCAACACAAACACAACAGGCAACGAATTAACAGGGGACAATGGCTCGCATTATACTTTGCCTGACTCGGAGACAGACAGTTTACTTCACTTTTGGTTCCTTCTATCTTTCTCTTTGGTTTTAAAAGCCGACGACTTAAAAATTGTTCATCTCGTAAGCAAGGAAGGAAGGCTTGTTAATAAAACGTTCTCTCTATTATTTTCTTAATCTCTCTTAATTTTAATTTTCATAATATTAATGATCAAACAATTGAAATAATTCATAACGAGTTTGTTCTACGTGTTTGATTTGAAAATATTCGAGAACATTGTTAGAATTTATTAGATTATTATTTTTAAATTATTTTTAAAATAAATATAATAAATTAAAATAGTATTTATTTAACATTTGAAAAAAAGGATATAACACAAAGAATCAATTGAAAGTATATTTTTTGCGTTGTGAATTTTAATTTAAATGAGTTTCGTATAATGGAAATACAAAAATTGTTTTCAATTTCATTTAAATGTAATAAATCCAATCTGATTTCTTTTTATTTTTTTTTACAAACAAACAATTTCATAATTTCCGTAAATAAAATATCTACGGATTATAATAATAATAATCTGATATTTAAAAATATTTTCTCTTTAAAATAGTATTATACTAATTTCTTTTTATTTTTTTTTACAAACAAACAATTTCATAATTTCCGTAAATAAAATATCTACGGATTATAATAATAATAATCTGATAATTAAAAATATTTTCTCTTTAAAATAGTATTATACTAATTTCTTTTTATTTTTTTTACAAACAAACAATTTCATAATTTCCGTAAATAAAATATCTACGGATTATAATAATAATAATTTGATATTTAAAAATACGCGTAATTTTCTTTTTAAAATATTATTATATCTCAATTGAAATTGCTTTGACAATTAGTAAAAAGAAATCGTATTTTCCATATACGACGTATAAAGAATAAAAGGAAAAAAAAAATATACGTACACATATATATATATATATATAATTGATTTATATGAGAAAGAGAGAATGAACGGGAAGGAAGGAACGACGCAATTGAAATCGTAATTTTATTTATCGCATAGTATAATAGTATACGTTTTATTTCTCTCATTGTCACGGAAAAGTGGGGAATGTAAGTCGCGATAAAAAAGTATTTGCACTCTCGGAAACACACACGGAACATACATACCATACCCACACAACATACATACCATACCCACACAACATAAATAAATAAATAAATAAATACATATACATACATATGTAAAAAGAGACATGTTACGGATGTGCATATATATTATAAAAGATAGAAGAAGATAGAAGAATGGTGGCAGTGGCCTAACGTTACGAGTATTTTACGCATTCGTATGTGTCTGTCTCTCTCTGTGTGTGTGTGTCTCTTTTGGTTTCATTTTATGCACATAATGTGTATTAGTGTGTATATTCCAGAAGCAGAAGTATTAGCAGTAGCACCAACCAACAGCAGCAGAAACATACAACGTGCAGTATGCAACATGCAGTATGCAACGAACTCCGTACGCGGCCTTGAGAGGGGTTCTTTGTGCGGTTCAGCGTTCACTGTCGATTACTCGTTTATACGCTTACACATTTTTAACATACATATATATATATATATATATACATACATACATATGATTACGTATATATATTGTTTGCAAGTGTATGAGAATCGTTCTGGTTCTTGTTGTGTCTCGTTGTCATAGTCGTCGTCGTTGTTACATATACTGTAACAAGTTGCGTTGCACTTACGTACAAAGTACGCTACATGTGACTCACGTGCTCTCGCATATGCTACCGGGCGTATAATTTTTTTTGTTTTTTATTTTTTTAATTCTCTCACATAGTCTTTCTTTCTTTTTTTTCTTTTTCTTTCCGTGGATCCCATATAACTCCATCTAGATATACATATACGTGTATATATATATATATACGTAAGGAAAGTGCACATGGAAGTTATTGAAAAAGAAAGAAAGAAAGAGAGAGAATGCATGCATGCATGCATGCGGGTGTCGGCCACGTGCGCGTTGCACTTTTTACTTTCGTTCGTCCCATTAGTTCTCTCTCTTCGTCAAAATTTCTATGTAAAAGTATACAATATAGTATTATTATTATTACATACCTTTACTTATAAATGTTTTACTTTATTACTTTAGATTTAACTTGCAAGTATTATTAACGTAAATTGATTAAAACTTAATTACTCAACGCGTTACTACTTTTACATTATTTTAATACATATATATATATTCGATAGATTGAAATTTAAATACTATTTACTCGTGTATGTGCGTGTGTGTGTTTTTATGTGAAAAATAATAAAATAATTCAATTAGTTATTTCTCTCGTCCAAAATTATAATTCTTAATACGGAATCACAGGGAACTTGAACATAAAAAAGAAGTAGAATTTAATTTAACTAAGTTGAACGTTTCGTCCCCTTTATTGGGATTTATTCAGCAACTTAATTCTATAGTTCAGCGTCTTTTTTTATTATGTAGACATACAATTTTCATTTTATTAATATTCCAAACACACAAGACATCTAAATTTCGTTAAATATTCGATCGTTACAATTTAAAACTCTCAACCACACTGTAATCAAATAATTTTTGTTCTTTTTTTTTTTTTTAAATAGTAATCCAACGTATGTACGTCATGTATGTATGTATGTATGTATGTATGTATGTAAGTATTAAGGTATATAAATCGTTTAGGTTCGTAACTATAAGATTACGCAAATAAGAGAAGGAGAGTTGAGTTGAGTATAGCAATAGTAATAGTAATAGTAAGTAATAGTAGTAGTAAGAGAAAGATAAAAGAATCGTTTATTGAAATAAGCTTTTTATGCCGGGGCGAATGTGAATTATCGGATTTGAAAAGGCGCCTATAAATCTCTTTTAGTAAAGGTCCCCGCGCGTGGGTTTCTCACGGGCTTTTTGCAGTTGTACCAACAATCTACTACGACCAGGAACAGTTATGGGTCTCCCTGGTATTGTACGTATATGTATACCTGCATCCAGTACTATTCCGATTGACATTTTATTTGGAATATCCGGCACATATGTAAAGGTAGAAAGTAACGAACCGAAGAAGATGATGATGATGATGATGATGATGATGATGATGATGATGATGATGATGATGATGATCAGCAGGAGAACGAAAACGATGGGTGAGTTGTTGAGAAGATTTCCCCCCACCAACACCACCACCACCATCACCACTACTACTACCACCAACACAACCCCCTATCCCCCAACACTTTTTTTCTCTCTCTCTCTCTCTCTCTCTCTCGCTCTCTCTCTCTCTCACTCATTCTCTCTTTTTCCTCATTATGTTAACTAAACACGTTTTGCAACCTGTGGAAAGTGGTTATATTATCGAGCGTGGATTTCACGAGAAGGAAGAAAGAAAGAAAGAAAGAAAAGTTGAGATTCGATCGAGCCTAGGGTGTTGTGTATGTGTGTTGTATGTGTGTAGGCGAGATGGGATCTCTGGTATGACGTTAAAGAAAAAACATGTTAGAGAAAAAGAGATAGAGAATAGGAGAGAATGAGAGAGAGAAAGAGAGAGAGAGAGAGTCATCTTACAAGAAACGTTTACTTGAAATGTCAAGGATGCACAACCATGTGTGAGCAAGTGAGCGCACGTGCCAGTATCAAAGAAACAGAGAGAGAGAGAGATAGAAAGATATGTAATAAATGAGATAGAAAGAAATAAACGATATAAACTCGCCTCGTAAAACAATGCCAATAAGATAGGCGTGCTTTATTATTGTTATTTTGTCACGCGTGTTCTCAACGTTAGTTTATATATATGTATATATATGTATATGTATATATATTATAACATATATCATGTTAGGGACGACGTCAGGTAAAACAAGGTAGGATTTGAAAATGTTTTCGAGGGCCCGCGGCATCAAGGAACCTTCGTTTATTAACGTGTTTATTTGTTGTATTCTTTAGATTGAGAAAAATAATATTTCCGATATATTATTATTATATAATAATAGTTTATTTCACAGATTATTTATCGTCGATTATTTATTATTCATACGAATCGTTTATTAAAACTTCGAATTAAAAGAAAAAATATATATATATATAAATACCGATATTTATTAATTAGAGGTTTGAAAAATATTTTCGATGTATTCAAATAATTTCTTTTATATTTTTATCGTCAATTATTAATTCGTATTGTCTTTGAAAACTACGATTAAGAAATTATTCTATATATATATATATGTGTACACATTCTTTCAAATTCTTTCGAGTTTATAAACACGTCGTGATCGATTTGATAAAAAAAAAAAGAAAGAAACATAAATTGTACGTGTAATCAGTAAGAAGAAGAATACCTATGCGTATACGTAATGTATTTATTTTAAAACGGAGTCAAGCAGTCTGCTCGTTGTATGTTATATCTATTATATTATATATCTGATATGATAAATATCGCGTTAAATATTATTGGCATGATTTTATCGATCCGATTATAAATTCTCTTTCTACACACGTAAATATGACTTTTTCTTATCGATATCTTATTTTCGTGGCAATCGTTATCATCGGAGATATATATGTTCGTCATTTTTTCAAATATATATTATTTTTTAAAATTATTTCTAATAAAAAGTAGCAAAGAAAAATAAAAAAACACACATATATATATATA